TGCTGGGCTGGGAGAGAAATGCAGGCAAAACAGACCTCAGTGAACCAGGCAGCTGTGGCGGCTTCCAGACTTCTCAACCCACAAATGCCAAAGACAACTTAGAAGATCAGTAGGGAAGGTTTATGACTGCAGTGAGAGAGAAGATAGGTCCCAGCCCTAGTCCCAGTGTGGTGGCTGCTTCCTGAGCTATCAGTCCACAAACTGAGGAGTAATCAAGTGGCTGATCAGAGGGGGATTGCAGGGATCTCTTTGCTGGTGCTGAGGCAGGATTCTCTTGCATTACCTGTGCTTGGATCTGGGTCAGAGTTCTGGGTGGTGATCCTGGGGTGAGGAGAAGTGCTGGCATGGTGCAGCTTATAGTAGTGGTGGAGAGAGAATTCTCCTCACAGTTCCAAGGCAGAAAAGAGTGCTTGCGATCACTCATAGACTAGAGCATAGGCCAGGAAAGGAGTAAATACCTTGTCCTTGATCATACCACCTTGGAAGAACTGAAAATTTATAGGTCCCCAGAAGAATCTCTGAAAACAGCTGTACAAAACTCCCAAAGCTTGGGTCAGTACATACTCCACACTGGAAGCAGACCCCCTACCTTAACAAAGAGTTTAAAACTCAAGTAATTGGCTGGGATCATGAGCAAACTGCACAAAAAAAAAGTCAGACCATAGATTCTTTCTTTGGTGACAAAGAAGATCAAAACATACAACCAGAAGAAGACAACAAAGTCAAAGCTCCTACATCCAAAACCTCCAAGAAAAATGTGAATCAGTCCCAGGCCATGGAAGAACTCAAAAAGGATTTTGAGAAGCAAATAAGAGAAGTAGAGGAAAAACTGGGAAGAGAAATGAGAGTGATGCAAGAAAATCATGAAAAACTAGTCAATAGCTTGCTAAAGGAGACCTAAAAATATACTGAAGAAAAGAACATCTTAAAAAATAGCCTAACCCAAATGGCAAAAGAGGTCCAAAAGGCCAATGAGGAGAAGAATGCCTTAAAAAGCAGAATTGGCCAAATGGGAAAGGAAGTCCAAAAGCTCACTGAAGAAAATACTTCCTTAAAAATTAGAATGGAGAAACTGGAAGTTAGTGACTTTATGAGAAATCAAGATGTAAAACAAAACCAAAAGAATGAAAAAATAGAAGACAATGTGAAATATCTCACTGGAAAAACAACTGACCTGGAAAATAGATTGAGGAGAGATAATTTTAAAATTATTGGACTGTCTGAAAGCCAGGATCAAAAAAAGAGCCTAGACATCATCTTTCAATAAATTATCAAGGAAAACTGCCCTGATATTCTAGAACCAGAGGGTAAATAGAAATGGAAAAAATCCACCAATCACCTCCTGAAAAGGAAAGGAAAAACTCCTAGAAATATTGTAGCCAAATTCCAGAGTTACTAGGTCAATGAGAAAATATTGCAAGCAGCCAGAAAGAAACAATTCTAGTATTGTGGAAACGCAATCAGGATAACATAGGATTTGGAAGCTTCTACATTAAGGGACCAGAAGGGCTTGGAATATGATATTATGGAGGGCAAAGGAGATAGGATTACAGCCAAGAATCACCTACCCAGCAAAAATGAGTATAATCCTTCAGGGGAAAAAAATGGACATTCAGCAAAATAGAGGACTTTCAAGCATTCTTGATGAAAAGACCAGAGCTGAAAAGAAAATTTGACTTTCAAATACAAGACTCAAGAGAATCATGAAGAGGTAAACAGGAAACAGAAATCATAAGGGACTTATTAAGGTTGAAAGATGATATTTGTAACTTATGAGACCTTTCTCAGTATTAGGGTAGTTGGAGGGAAAAAATTACATGTATAGATAGATTGATAGAGGGCACAGGGAGAGTTGGAGATGAATGGGTGATATCTGGAGAATAAAATGAAGGGGTGAGAGAGGATTATACTGGGAGAAGGAGAAAGGGAGAGGTAGAATGGGGTAAATTATCTCACATAAAACAGACAAGAAAAGACTTTTAGAGTGCAAAGGAAGTGGGGGAAGGTGAGAGGGAATGAGTGTATCTTATTCTCATCAGATTTGGCTTAAGGAGGGAAAAACATACACACTCAATTGGGTATGGAAATCTATCTTACCCTACAGAAGATAGGGGGGGAAGGGGATAAGAGGGGGGGATAATAGAGGAGAGGACAGATTCAGGGAGGGGATTATCAGAAGCAAACACTTCTGAGGAGACAGAGTCAAAAGAAAGAATAGAATAAATGGGGGGGGGGGATAGGATGAAGGGAAATATAGATAGTTTTCCCAACATGACTACTATGGAAGTGTTTTGCATGACTACACATGTATAACCTGTATTGAGTTGCTTGCCATCTCAATGAGGGTGGGTGGGGAGGGAGGAAGGGAGAAAATTTGGAACCCAAAGTTTTAAAAACAAATGTTAAAAAATTTGTTTTCACATGCAGCTGGGAAATAAGATATATAGGCAATGGGTATAGAAATCTATCCTGCCCTACAGGAAAATAGAAGAAGAAAGGGATAAGGCGGGGGAGATAGAAGGGAGGGCAGATTAGGGGAAAGGTTATTCAGAATGCACATTGTCTTGGGGTTGGGGGATGGACGAGATGGGGAGAAAATTTGGAACTCAAAATCTTGTGGAAGTGAATGTTGAAAACTAAAAATAAATAAATTAATGAATCTTGAAAAAAAAAGGCCTTGGTAGGGAGCACTTTATCTGCTATGTCCCACTACGTACCACTAGGTCCTCAGTTTCTTTATCTGTAAAATGGGGGGTTAAACTAGATGACCTCCAAAGACCCTTCTAGCTCTAAAGCATCATAGATTGTAAGATCCTGGAGGGCAAGGACTGCCTTTTGCCTGTTTTCATATGCCCAGTGCTTACCACAGTGTGTGACACATAGTAGGTGTTTAATGAATGCTTATTAAATTGAATTTTATTGCAAAGTTTAGTTTCAATGGAGGAGAGCACAGAGGCTCATTTATGTTAACCTCTAAGAAATCCTGAACACACCCATCACAGTCCGTCATCACCGTGAACAATTCATATACTTCCCAGCTGGGAATCTGGTCCTGGCTGTGCCTCCAATTCCAGCCAAGTCTAGTACAGAGAATCTCTATGATAGCTACTGGCTGGTTTTTATTTGGTTTGTTGCAACTAAATTAGCCACGGATCCTTTTAGTCATTCATTTGATGTCCTTTCACTTCATTTGCCTTTTTGGAGATGAGAGCACCCTGAGAATTGTTGTAGCTAAGGGCTGACAAGAATCAGGAAATTGTGAAATCTAAGAATTGGAAGCGACATAAAGCCCGCCCCGTCCTACTTCCGATCCAGTGCAAGAAACCCTTCCCTGGGATCTCCATTGAAGCTTAGCTATCCTCTGCTTGAAGTTTCAAGATTGGGAAACTCACTGTTTGATAAGAGGGCCTGTCATATTCTCCATACCACTCTTGTCTTTATAGAATTCAGCCTAAAAAGAGCCAAAAGCTGTTTTCTAAAATTTCGACCCTTGGCTCATGATTCTCTCTCTCTTTTGGGATACCTTCCCTCTTCTACTTGACTCCCCCTTAGGGACTCATAGACTCCCCCAGCCCCACCCCCACCCCAATACTAACCTTTGACATGCGGGTCATTTCTACTTCCTCCGGTGATCTTCATCTAGCATGACTTCTAGTCCCCTCCCTTTCCACCTTGGACATGCTCTAAATTATGGGATTTTGAGCTGGAAGGGACCTTAAAGATGAGCTGGTCCTACCTCCTCATTTGGGAGAGGAGGAAGTTGGGCCCCAGATCACACAGGGACCAAGCAGCCAAGCTCTGGTTCAAACTCAGATCTCTTGACTCCCAAGCTAGTGGGTTGTTGTTCTACTACAGCCCCTGGGCCTTGGGCATCCTTATTCTTCCTAAAATGTGGCACCCAGGATTGAACCCAGTACTTCAGATGTGATCTGTTACAGAGCAGCTGGGGGCGCTGTAGGGGATAGAGCACCAGGCCTGGAGTCAGGAAGATCAGAGTTCAAATCCAGCCTCACACATCCTAGCTGTGTGACCCTGGGCCAGTCACTTAACCCTGTTTGCCTCGATTTCCTCATCTGTAAAATGAGCTGGAGAAGAAAATGGCAAACCTTTCTAGTACCTTTGCCAAGAAAAACCCAAATGGAGTCACAAAGAATTGGACATGACTGAAATATAAGTCAACAACAACAGAGCAGAGTTTAGCAGAATGCCCACCATTCTTGATCTAGAGGTTATACTTCTATTAAACCTGACTGCCATGGTAACCATACTGGTTACTATGTCACACAGTTGCTGCATATGGAGCCTATGGTCAACTCAAAACAGCAGCACTTTAAAATACAAACCGATGTCCAGTCATATGTCCTACTCTGGACTTACATCGTTGATTTATTTTGAGTCACCAAAAGTCGGACACAACCAAAAATGGCTAAACAACAACTAAATAGAGGACTTTCCATTTGGACCTTATAATGTCAACAGTAACATCTCTTTACAGAAGTGACCCGTCCCAACCTGAGTCATCACTTCATTTCATCACTCTGTTGCCTCTGGCACCTCCACAAAGGCTCTCTGCTTCTTCAGGCTCTCACTCCTTCATCTACAAAACAATTGGCTCGAGAAGGTTTCCCCTCCAAGGACACAGATTGCCCAGCACTGTTATCACAGTTGGGTAAGAGCAAGAAGAGAAAGAGAGAAACCCACGTGTTTCATTTTCCTTTGACCCTGGGCCATCCTTCTCCTTCCGTCTCTCCACATTTCCTCAGCCACACTTCCAGAAAAATCATCCACCTCAAAATTCTCAACATCTTTTACAGAAATTGCATTTAAAAGTCTACCAAGTTGATGCCATGCCATCTGGCCCAAAGCCTTCTAAGAGAATGTTATAGCTACAGTGTACAGCATCTCAGTCATACTGAATGAGAAGGATCCTAGGGATACATTTCCTCCTTATGTTTTTTTCTCTCCCCTTCTCTGTCTCCCAATCAGGAATATAATCTTACCTGGACAGTGAATTTCTCTTCTTCATTGGTCAGAATTCTGTAGGTATAGACACAATTCCGAAACCTGCAACAGATCAGACGCAACATTAGAACCTGTTTGGTCAATCCACTTCTTATGAAAAAAGGGGAGTCTTTTTGTAACTTACAGATTGTGATATCTCATACACCCGGGGCCAAACCGAGACAGGAATTTTGTCGTGATGTTTCTAAACACATCCACTTGGAAGTTTGGGAGGAAGAGAAGAGAAGGGAAGGGGAGGGAGAGAAATGAGCACTATGAAAGCACCCGCTTCACGTCAGGGACTGTGCTAAGTGCTGTACAAATAGGAACCCTGGGACACGGAACCTGGACTGTGGAGAAAGGAATCCAGAGTCATTTGTCCAGGTCACCTCTGACCCAGCCTCCGCACAACTGCCAAAGTGATCTTTCCCAAGGAGCAGATATGATGGTATTATTCTCCTATCCAAAACAAAATAACTAGGAACAAACACAAACTTCTGTTTTGCATTTAAAGCCTTTCACAACTGACCCCAACCTACCTTTCCAGCCTTACTACAATTTCCTCCCTTTCACCCACATTCTATGTTCTAGTCAAATCAGCTTTTCCACTGTCTCTCCCCCACCTCCTTGCCTCAGCACTGGTTGTCCTCCATGTCAAGGATGCCCTTGCCCTGTCCGCTTGACCTCTTAGAAGTGACTTCCTTCAAAACTAAGCTCCAGCATCTCCTGCATGGAAGCTTTCCTGATGCTCCAAGCTGCTAGTGGCCTCCCACACTGGAACTGTCCTATAAAACTACGTTCACATATACACACACATATATAATTTTATTTTTATATTATAATTTTATTATGTTATATATTATTTTATATTATATTTTTTATATTATATATGTGCACATACATGTGTCATCTTCCCAAATAGAATGTAAATTCCTTCGGGGCAGGAATGTTTCACTACTATCATTATCTCCCCGGTGCCTGGAACAAAATATATTGTTCAGTCATTTTAGTCATGTCCAACTCTCCATGACCTCATTTGAGGTTTTCTTGGCTAAGATTCTGGAATGGTTTGCCATTTCCTTCTCTAGATAATTTTACAGATGAGGAAACTGAGGCAAACAGGGTGAAGTGACTGGCCCAGGGTCACATAGCTAGTAAGTTTCTGAGGCCAGATTTGAACTTAGGTCCTCCTGACTCCAGGCCTGGCTGCACCACCTAGCTGCCCAGAACACAGTTAGAACATAGTAAGCAATTAATAAAAACTAGTGAGATAACTGAGCATCTGCGCTCTATGTTTTTGATAGCCCTGGACAAAGTCAGGACTCTCTGTGATGTGGGTGCTTGTGCAAATGCCCACACACTCCTCACTAAGCTCTGCCCCTACTGTACCACCCATGTGATGTGTGAAGTATCATAATAATCTGATCATCGCTTCTACCAAAGGTGCATTTATTTCTTAAAAAGAAAATATTTGCTGCTACTTTAATTAAAAAAAAGACACAAAACCGAAATGAAAACAAAATTAGTTTAGATGGTTTTGGACAATTTCGTGATCATTTTTTAAAAATTACCTTAGAAGCAATGGAGAGGTAGAATGAAATGTATTTTATAGCCTCCAATGGTTTACTACACAAGAGTAGGCAAAAATCTGAACCAAAATAAACACGTGATAAATACACACAGGGCACAATGCATCACTGACATCATACAGATGACTTATGTGTAACTTCTCACTGATGAATAGGAATTAGTTGTTGAAGAGACAGGCTATGAGAGAGACATTTTGTAACAAGGTCAAGGGGAGGGGAAATGTATACCCAAACTTGTAGAAGCATGCCTTCCTCCTTGTTTTATGCTCACAGGATCACAGACCTATAGTTGGAAAGGACCTGAGAGGAAACAAAATTCACCCCTCTCATTTTACAGATGAGGAAACTGAGGCCCGGAGAGATTAAGGGAGCTCAGTTTTAAGTCCAGTATTGGGAACAGGGTAAACTCAGAAATCAGTGAAGATGCCTATGGTGAGTGTTAGCAGGCTGTGACATATACATAAGGAACTACTGAGAAAATTCAAAATAAAGTGTGGATCAGAAAGAAAACGGGCTGGTCACGTGGAGACGATAGTGCTGGTGGTAGGGTTATCATTGGACAGCCAGTCAAGAGAAATCAAGGAAGGCCCCAGCATGTTGGGCAGATTCCCCCCGTCCCTCCCTCCCTCTCTTGACCCTTCCCGTCCACTCAGATCTAACGTAGGTAGGAGAAGTGCAGGTTGGGAAGTCACAGATGGGTCATGATCTTTGCTGGAGGAACACTGACATCGGTGGTGTCAGAGCTCACATGGAGTAACTGAGTGGGAACATACCATGTACCCCAGACAGCCAACTCTAGATGAGTATGGCAGTCAGCATCAGTTCCTTTGTGGTATGAATACTATCAAAGCTCTATGAGCCCTTCAGCGTAGAAATTTCCATCTATCAACAGAGATTACAACCCGACAAAAACTCAGTTGATAAGTCTTTGGGTTTTGCCAAAGCTCAGACCAGTTTAGTCACTTGCCTGGGGTCATGCAACTAGTAACTGTGAGAGGCAAAATTTGAACTCAGGACTTCCTGATGCTACCCACAGCCCCAGGCTTCCTGACCAAAGCACGCCGCCTGAAAAGGTGCCGGAGGGTCACAGTGTGGGAGCTGATGGAGCAGACGCTGAACGAACGAACGCTCTTAGGGAAATGCTCAACCTGACAGCCCTGGATCGCCACCTCTGCAGGCTTGTTGGCAAAGGGAAAAACACCACACCCACAGCAGGGGCTAGCTAGTGCCGGAAAACAACAGCAACAACCAAAGAGTGAGTAAAGCAGGTGTAATCATCACCATCGTGACAGGAGTAATCACAGTGTTGGTGACTAACAACACTCTGAGGCTGGCAAAGCTCTGTACACCTCTCCTCCCATTGGATCCTCACATCTCTCCTAGAGGTGGGCATGATTGTTACCCCCATTTCACAGAGGGGAAAACTGAGTCAGTGGGAAGCATAGGAGATGGTGTCTGAACCCAGACCTTCCTGACTTCACGGCCAGCATTCTTTCTACTGTGCCACACTCCCTAGAGAGCTTCGGCCATGCTCAGCAGAATCTAGGGATGCCCAATTTCTATCTAATAATAGTAATTAAAAATAACAAAAGCCAGCCCTTAGAGTCTGCAAAGTACCTTAGTTTAAACATTATCTCATTTGATCCTCACAATAACCTTGAGAATTGGGGCTATTGTTATCCCTGCTTTACAGATGAGGAAACTGAGGCAAGCATAGGGTGAAGTGACTTGCCCAGGGTCACACATCTAGTAAATGTCTGAGGCAGGATTTGAACTCAGGTCTTCCTGACTCTAGGTGCCGCACCCAGTTTCTCCACTCCTCTCTATCCTCCACACAGCTGCCAAAGTGACATTCTGACAGCATCCTTCCAACCAGGTCCCTCCCCGCTCTGGAATCTCTAGCTGCTCCTTTCTGCCTCTAGGATTCCACCCCAGCTCCAGGCTTTGGCAGGATACTAGGTCCTACTTCCTCCATGACATGGTTTCATCTTGGTTGTTCAATTCCATCCCTCTTTTGTCTGCTTCCATTCCACTTGCACGGAATGCATTGGAGGGCAAGCCCCCTGAGGGCAGGAATCTCTAGCTTTCATCACAACAGCTGGCCCATCACCCTGGCTGACTGAATGAAACAAGAGGATGTTAACATCTTGAGGAAAGGAATTGCTTCATTTTGGCTTGGCAACCTCAGTACCTGGCACAGAGTAATGGCCTGACAAAGGCTTGTTGAATGTATGAATTGAATGAGTACCTCTTAGGACCACGGATCCAGTGCGGGAAGGGACCTTGGGGAGCAGCGGGTCCAACCTGGACGGGACAACAAGCCTTCCTCCCACTTCTGCTTGAAGACCCGCAGGGAGCTCCTCAGAACTGGAATGACGTCAGGTGGGGCTAGCCTGTGACATCAGCATAGTGCAGGGAGAAGGAGCTGGGCCCAGGACCTGGGGTCTGCCACTCACTCCCAGCGTGTCCTGGGCCACATCACCTCCTCAATCTCAGTCTCATCTGTAAAGTGGAGGGGTTGGATTGATGGTCATCCCTTCTAGCTCTAAATCTATGGTCCTGTGATCCTCATTTTACAAATGGGCAAACTGAGGTTTAGATTGTCATGACCACACAGGGAGCCAGCGAAGCACCCAGGGTCTCACCTGGTGGTCCTTAGTCATGCTTCCCCATGGTAAAGCCCCATATAAATAAAAGCCATGGCTAGTTTATTTATTGTCAGTGCTGAACACTGTAATGCTGATGAAGTGGGACTGTCCATGGGACAGACTTTTCCAGGGGGAGAGTGACAGGCAGGGGCTGACAAGCCAGGCAGCTTCTTTTCCCACCTCCCACCTCGAGGAAGTCAAATCTGCTCTCTGCATCGTCATCGTCATCGTAACAGACATTTCTATAGCTCTTTCAAGTTCACCAGGAAAAACACCACACCCGAGGTGGGGCTTTGGGGGGTGGGGGAGAGGGGAGAGCAGAAGAAAGAAACGCAGGTCACTAAAGCAGACAGCCAGATGTGGCCAAGAATGGGGAGCAGACCAGGGATTTCAGGAGCACAGAGAATTCCCGAGTGAGGACACTGTCCCCACCAATTCTGGCTGGCACCTTTTCTCAGCTTCCAGTCTTGTCTGGCTCAGTCTTGAGAGACCACCCAGCCAGCGTCTGTCAGAGCCGGGTCTTGGATCCAGACCTTCCTGACTCCGCGTCCAGAGCTCTACAGCGCGCAGGGTGCAGCCAAACAAGCATTTTTACTCTTCCTCATGCACAGTGCTGCATCTCCCATCCCCCACGTTTGCCCTGGCTGTGCCCCTTGCCTGGAATTCCCTCTCCTCTCCTGCCTCTCAGACTTGCTGGTTGCCCTTACAGCTCAGCTGAACACTGTCTTCTCCATGAAGAATTTCCTCATCTCCCTATTGCCAGTGCCTGCCCTTATGTTCTCCTGGACCTTGTTTATTTATACCTCCATGCAAACATGCTCCCCCC